GACACATCTCCCCTACTGATCAGCATAGGGGCAAAGGTCAGCAGCTTTATCCATAAAAGAAGAGCTATCTGTAAGCTTTCAGCTTCATTCAGCTGTGTTTGTAGTGCTGAGGTTTCATCAGGACAGCCACACTGCCTGCTTGTTGTTAGGAATCTGGAGTACATGAGAAAGTATTTGAAAAAAACAAACAAAAAAAAATTATATAAGCAAAAAAACGAAACCATCTAAGTAGAAAAATATTACATTAAGTATGCATTGTTTCCTTTGGTGTATTATAAGCCTGGCGGGCCACCAGGGTTTTACTTGTTTCCCCACCAGACTTAGCATTGTTAATTTAATTTAATTTTAATTATTGCCTTTTTATTTTTAAAAGACTTTATAGCTTGTGTTCAGGCACTGATCTTCTAGTCTTCCAATAACGTATAACTATCAAGTGATATTTTCAAATTTAATGTCAACTTTAAACATTTTTCAACACAAAAACACAGCGAGCGACTGGATGAATGACTGCTGAGCGCCCCAAGCACCAGGGTTAGCAAGTTTCCTGGGGGAAACCCTGGATATGTAACGTTTCACGGCTTTATAATACAATAGAAAAAAACCTCATAAATATTGATATACACACAAACAAGTGGGTGAATAACTCTCAGTTGATAACAGGCTTATGCCAGTGTGAGATTCATATTTTATGACAACTAAACTAAAATTTAAAACAAGATACATAACATGATCCATGTATATTTATTTCAAAAACATGAGAAGCAATCGTTAACATTGTTGCAACAATAATTTAAGGTCATGATAATTAGCAGGGAGGTTTTGATGTTATTTCAGGCATCAATTCAGAGTCTTTAAAAAAAAAAATCTGTATATTTGTTTGCTGAAGGTGTGCCCCCTCTTAGCCCTGGGCTACTGCTAATCTGACTGGTTTCAAACATTAACATCGCAAATGATGCATAGTTCTCATGCAACATGCTTTGCACTAAACAAGGGAACAGCATGTTGCAGCATTAACTATAAATGTACAACTTTTTGAAGTTTTAAAGTGTTTTATGGACGATATGAACTCAGCTACATCTGAAAATACATCGTTTGCCACACACAATGCCACAGTAGCCATTAAATAAATACTGCCATGTGACAAATATATAGAGGGTAATCAAAATGCACTTTAGTACAATGAGTATTTCAAACTCTCGTTTCTGCAGGTTCTCGAGGAAAGCAAGACATTTTTAGTCATCCTTAAAGACCACGAGTTTCCACCCGGCGTGAAAGCTGAAAGCCCCACCTGGCTTGCTGATTCCGATGTACTCCAGGTCGGACTCCTTGACATAGTTGAAGTGCTCCACGCGGGTAATGTTGAGGCCGTCTCGGACGCGGACGTAGAACTTCTCCAGCTGGACTTCAGCCAGCAGCTGGTGCAGCCACTGAGTGTCCTGGTCCATCAGCATGTCCTGGCCCACACAAGCCTGCAGGCAGGAAGACAGAGGCGTGTAAAAACACTCAAATATTCACACTTCTGGTCATGCGGCTTCTTCCACTGAATCTTCTGCATCACGACCAAAAGCAACTGATTAGAAACCGCGTTTTGTGTCAGCGATTCTCCTCGAAAATCGACCCGGTTTGATTAAACTTCCCCCGAGGTCTCGCTTCGTAACGTTGCCGTGGAAACCTAACAAAAAGCCCTTCATGTGGGGGGAGTAATTTTCAGCTTCAGTCTGAGTACAAAGTCCAAACAGTTTGTCTGGAAGCATAAGAGTGTAACAGTGCACCCTAATAAATGAGAACATGGATTAAACGTGAATTTATTCAATTAATTCCAATGTTATTTTTCCTGTTAATTCTGATTATTCTGCCCAACAGCTAAAGAAAATGTGAAATTCTATTACTTGTAAAGTTTAAATATCACATAAAAACAATCAAAGCAAATTTTTCTAAATGTTGGCTTAATTAAAAGTCTGTCCATGTGCCGTGCGGTGTGTGTACAATCAGTATTTGGTAAAGACCCCTGTGCATGAATTACTGCATCAATGTGGCGCAGAATGGAGGCGAGTTGTCATGGTTGGTTCTGGTGTTTCTCATCTTCCTCTTGACAATATCTGAGAGATTTATTATGGGGTTCAGGTCAGTTTTGTGGGCCATCGGTCCCAGATACGCCATGGTCATTAAACCAGGTGTTGATGTTTTTGGCAGTGATGGTCTTGATAGCCAACACAGCATCACAAATCCCCACTGACAAGACCCTCACACAACTATTTACTTTAATCCAGAAACAATGATTTTAAGCCACTCAGTAACAGCCAAGCACCTTTTCTCCCCCCCTTCGCCAAAGACGCTTCTGATGGTTCCTCTGGTTTGGGAGCAGAGAAAACCACGTCGCCCATGTTGTGAATGTTTCGGTCTGTGGTGTCTTTCAAAGCACCGACTCCAGCCACGGCCCACGCCCTGCCAATATTACGTGCTTTGACACAGCGCTCTGTGGGCAGCCAGTTTCTTTAGCAGCGACTTTCTGTGTTTTGCGCTCTTTGTGTAGGGCGTCTGGAGAACAATGAGGCCAGCAGCCGTCTCCATCACGGCGCAGGCTGTCATGTAACATTCCTGTATAATTATCATAAGTTGTTGGCCTTATGTAACAGCTGAATTTTTTTTTTACGATGAAACAAAAATGTAGGTTATTCGTCATAGGTAGCATTAATGCAGGCTTGAAGTATGCATGTGTGTAATTAAGTTATATGAGTTTCACGTTTTGAATTCGGTGATAGAAGTAAATTACCTTTTCCAAATAAATTAAAGAAATTCATGCCGAAAACGGAAACATTTTCTTCCCTTTTTGTAACATTTAAGTTCAGAGGCTTTTCTTCGTTTGAACCTGAGCGTCACCAACGCTCCTGCAGCCTGGTGGAAAGCTAGGAGGTGGAAATGACGGCCTGTCTGTGGTTCAGAGCCACCAGTTTGACCAGATCCCGCATAGATTGCATCTATTTAACACTCTGATGTAACACAGAGTGTCGACAGGGCACAAAGACGGCAGCGTGACTTGATATTAACCTTATGCTTCATTTCCAGTTTCTTCTTAGCCATTGTTACAGTAAATATTGATAAGCAGGAAGTCGAAGTGACGTTGTGTAAGCCTCCCAGTTTTGAAGTTACTGAATACCGCCTTCTTATCTGCAGGTTTCAGTCAGTGAGCTTCAGCTTTAACTCTGGCAGCCTCACTGGAAAAATAAAAACTAAAAAAATCTCTGCAGCAGGCAGGCCGACTGTCAAGGCTGCTCAAAAATTAACAATTCAAGTGCAGAAACCCACAAGCTGAGACTTGTGCTCAATTTTACAGGGACAACTCCCAAACTTAATCATCCTGCAAATACTGAGGAAGGGAAATCATTTCCAGCGTTTAAATTCATATTAAAAACTTTTTTTTAAAAAAAGAAAAAGAAAAAAAGATGCACCCTGCTGAACTGAGAGGTTTGTGATCATCACATTTTTGTGTACAGAGGGTTGAATGTTTAACCTGTTCAGCTACTGAACACCCTCACTACCTCATGGTATGTGTGACCATGAGCTTAGTTATTTACTTCATGACTCAAATGTGGCTTAAAAAGAAAATCTGCCTAAAGAACCTGTTAATGACACCGGTCTTACTATGTGATCTCGACGAATCAGGTGAGGTATATCCAACTAAATCATTTGTTTATTTCGCT